CATGCACACACATTACATTGCTACTGTCAACTAGCCAATAAACACAACATTAAGCAGCTTTTATCCAAGTAAACATCTCTCATAATGTGTCTCACAACTTAACCAATATTGCCTGTCAAAGAAAAGACTTTGCATTGACATTGAGGCACTTGAATTGTTAAATCAAATCTAAACTGCTAAACAAAATCAACAAACAGCTAACACTGTGCTAACACCCAGAAACACTGATCTGTCTAGATGTGAGTGTCTTTATACCTTACCTTACATTGATCCTTTTTATTACAAAGTCTTAGAAGTTCCTGAATCAAAGATTACGATTTCATAGAGCTAATGGAAGTCGCACTGAGACAGATTAAACCAGCCACATGTGTGTCTGCCTGTAGGCACGTAGTGTGATACACACAAACAGCATCATTAAAAGTAAAAAAGATAAACTGCAAGTCAATTTCTCATTGGATTTAGTTAGAGCTTGAGTGCAACTTTGTGCAAGCCATGAACTTGAGCCACAGAACTATATATCTTGAAGCTAGGACCAGTCCCAACATAAACTCTTCAGTGTGTGTACTGAGAAAGCAGAAACAGCAGTGTCACTGTTTGAACGGCAGGAGAGCAAACTAGACTACAAACAGAGGACTAATGGAGCCAAATGAAGTGATGAGACAAGACCCAAGGAGAAAGAAAAAGGGGTATAAAGAGGGGAAGAGGGAGACAGATTAGCCCAGCTGTCTGCTCATAAAGCAACCGAGGGGTGAGGCGCTAAGACCCCCAGTGAAAGCACAGCTTAGGTGGGTGACACAGGGCAGTGGACCCCGTTTAGTCCACAGTGGCCTACAGCGTACAGGCAGAGCCAAAGCAAAGACACATGGATAAACAGTGGGAGATGAGACTCAGCACCCGCAAAGCCCACAGGACTAAGATGGCCGAGAAGGCATCATATTCCCCCCCCCCAGCCTGGAGTGGAGACATGGGGGTTAAGAGTTTGGCTCCCTAACTGGCTGCCAAGGGACAAGGCAGGGTAGACACTGTCTCAGTCAAGTCAGCGGGTTCATCAGAAAGAATGTGGATTTACTGTATATTGCCTTGGCTCAGCTCAGGGGAACACAGAGACAATTACATAGGGTCTTGGCACAGACGCCCTCCTAAAACACAGCCCAGAACGATCAGTTTCTCTGTCCCCAGTCTCTCTACTAGATGCAAACACACAGCACCATACATTTCTCAAACTGCGCCCCGCTGATGACCCCTAGTTAGCACAACATCCTGGGAATGGCCTGTGATGACAAGGTCAAGAGTATTAGTTGAGGAGGCCTCAGCCCACCACTGCTAGCCCTAAAGTAGCCAAGGCCTTTAGCCATACTGGATTTCACAGGCAGCCCTCATCCACAGCCTTGTAGCAGATACTGTATATATAAGTAAGTTAAGGATAGCTCTCCATTGAGACCTTCTGGATGTAACGTTCTCATGTAGAATATTCATGTCAGTTTTTTGCCCTCTTTTTTGAGACATCTAGGAAGATGTGACATCAGGTTACTTGTGTGTATAGCACTTCTGTGCTCAAAAATGTTTGTTTTAACAGCTTGCTTTTCCAACATACTGACACCCACATGGGCATGACAATTTTTAATGTCAAATGACTAAAAAAAATGAACAATGAAATGAATATTTGAGTCCACATTTGCATCTAGTCTTCAATCCACACAGAGACTATGTTGTAAACACAGGGCTTTCTTCAATAGTTTCATAGTGCTGCTGCAGGCTGGTCACATGGATATCTACTATTGTTCAAGTCCCAAAATCAGTAAATGTATTCACTTTACTGTGACATGCAACAAAGAAACACAACAATTCCTAACACTGGAAAAGTTAGAACCACACAATGTTTGGCCTTTTTGCTCAAAAAATATTTGAAACAATTACTGTATTATCAGAAAGGTCACTAATTACTGTTCCGACCAATCATTAGAGCATCCCAGCTTAGCAAAAACATAAGCCACCAATGAGTTCTACATTAAATCTATAATAGCTGGGGTTTAAAACAACTTATTCTGAACCAATACAAATGTTATGTTGGGATCTATCAAAATCCCAGTTTGCAAGACAAGAAAGAACTCAACTTATCTCCCAGACCAAACAGGTCAGCCTATTTAATATCACTGTCCTGTCTCTTATTCTGCTGATTTAGCCTAACAGGGTTTTCTTGAGAATTAAATCTACTTAGGATTTATTGTTTCTTTTTATTCCTCGTCATTGGAAATATTATAATCCTTTCACCTAATCTCTCTCTCCCTTCCTCTTTTTCCGATCATATTCATCAAGATCATCTGCTCTGACAAAGCAAGAAGGGGGAGGTCTAAAGAGATTGCATACCAGAACAGGAGGGTTTCTTCCAAATCAAATCAGTTTTCTCTGATGTAATCAAGAAGAGACGCCAAAGACGACACCATAATCTCCCAGGGACATGCCACCCTTGCTTGCACATTATTAAAAATGAGGAAGAACAAATCTTTAGATTGAAAGACTGGAAAAATGGAATTATAATAAACCAGGGGAAACTGGGGCAAGGTTGGATAAAGCCTTCAGATACAGATGAGGGACAAATCTTCACAGTGGTTTGTGCTTGTATGTGTTTATGTGTGTGAGCGAGAGGGCAAGGACACATGCATGTGATGTGTTTGCATGGTTGTTTATGAAATATTTCAATTTACTCAAGATCAAGTCCCTCACCTGAGCTCTCTCTCTCTCTTACTAGCTCTGTGTAAAAAATCAAAAGTGCTGGTCATCCTACAAGCTACCAGGTGATCTTTCTGTATCTAAGGTGCCTGATGAATTGAGATGCATCATGGGTGGACTTCTCACTCATTTCAGAGTGCACCTACATTTAACATCCACATGATGGCAGAATGTGACAAAAATGGACACAGCTACCTGTAAGAACTCTTTCTATTAATCTGAAATGGTCTGATCTTCGCAATGACTATTTCATATTGTATTGTCATAATGAAATCAAAACCGGTGCTGCTACAGTTTAACACTAAAATATATTTACACATCAGTTAAATTAACTGATCTACAACTTAACATTTCACACAAACAAAATCGAGTAACCTAGAAATCAACTTGCAAGTCATTCTCAGTCCTCACCGCCAGATGACAGTATTGAGGTGCAGGAAAAAGTACTGGCATTATGGAAATATTCATGTGTACTTTAAGGTTTTTTTTTACATCAGGGACATTTTGGCACGAGTGTCAGATGTTTAATGTGGTTGTCTGATGTTTAGGTGTAAAAAAAAAATATTTCTTGCTATCTCTTTCCTGTCCATTCTGCAGTAAAATCCTAAAATTCCCCCCAAAAAATTCTAAAAAAGTTATAAAAGCTTCCATAATGCAGTATAATGTCTTATAACAACAAGAGAGCATTTAAAGTACAAATATACTTTTAAAGCTCAAGCAAAGTTGCTAATAATCATTCCATACATTCTGTGTGAAAGCCTATATACAGTCTACAGAATGCAGTGGTGCTTTCTGCAACCACAGTTGTTGTACATTGTCAGAACACCTCCATGATAGCTCCTTATCTGCCTCAAATGAAGTGAGTATGCTGATATGGAGCAAAGCCACCAGATATGAACACTGTTTTAAATTTGACACCAGAGCCCCCACTAACAACCTTGACAGAACATAGCACAGTGGAAGACTGGCCTTGAAAGAAAGAAAATGACAAATAAATGAGTATCACAACCAAAACCATCTTTAGTGGCATTTTAAATCATTGTTTCCACATTTCACTTTAGACAGTCAGAAAAGTAGAAACAACATGATTCTCCCACCTGGTTTAATTTTAGAATGTGGCCTTTGAGGGTTATTTTCTTTCTTACTTTCCAGAAACTCCACTATTTGCTATATTATTCACAATACATAGTTACATTTTCTATAATAGGTTAGTAGATTTTATCCATATTGCCCATTTATCACTCCCATTTACCCACAGAAGTGGTTCTTACAGGGGACAAATTGCTCTTTCAGAGGGCAGGATGAATATCTCTGAGACTAAGCATTAATATTTTATGGTGTTGTGGTTCAGAAGTAGATAGAGTAAGTCATCTAAAGAAACATACTGTATATATACGTACTGTATGTTCCTTTCGCTCAACTGTTGGTCCACACTTCAGTTCAGTAGGTGGCAGTAATGCATCTAAAGCTGTTTGCTAACCGCCATTAAGCAACAGTAGAAGAAAAAGAAGCAGCAGCTGAGCCTTTTCATGGGTTAAATGACATATTACAGACCATCAGCAGGTGAGTGAACAATGCAAAAATGAGGCAGTTCCAAATTATCCAAAGCCCTTCAGAACTGTCGGTGTCCAAGAAAATAAGGCACGGTACATAATATAATCTCAGTAACATAAACAAGAACATGGAAAAAGTGTAAGCAAAGAGACAAATAAGGTTTAACACTACAGACAAAAACAAAGAAGCAAGGTGGGTGTGTCGTGTTTAAGATAAATCCCAGCGTCATGCTTATGAAGTCGTGAATATCCATGTTACAGTCCCATCGCACTTGTTTCTGTTTATTCATGAACAGAATTCTTCATTTTCTTTCTCCATGCAACTCAAACTAGACAAACTGATTAAGTAGCAGCTAGCTAGCTAGTTAACTAACTAATTAGCTAGCTGCTGCTAGCTAGCTAACTAACTGCTAGTTAGGTGGCTACCTACCTAGCAAAACTGAAGAACAATCTCCATTTTTTCATTTAAACTATGTTAACTCATTTGTTTATACGGACACTAGAGTTTGACTTTTGTTTGTTTTACGTGAAGGCCACTTACTACATATTTTGAGTGTAAAGTTAACTAATATTGTCACTGACTGCACAGGCTTGCTGATGTGTCCTGGAATACCGACCACCAGAAATCTCAATGTTGACTTTGGAAGACAAAAATAAGAACTGGTTGTTATGTGACATAGATGATTAGCTAGTAAATATTTAAACTGTGATAATGGGGGTATCCTAGCTTTCCGTGGTTCTCTAAGTAGTTAAGTGCCACTGCATTTAGAGTGGCCATGAAGGGGTCTTGTTTCCATAGGAACACTCCTCACCCAACACTCAGGACTGCCACAGTTATATAATGTAACAACTGTAAAAAAATAAATAAATAAATAAATAAATAAAAAATCTACTGCGTTCCATAAGTACTCTAAAAAAACAGGCAATGTATCTTCTTTCACAAGAGAAAGTTTGATCATGTTTTCTTGGTTTGTTCACAGCTATGTGGCTACATTTGTGCCTTTGGATACCGACTGTTAAGGGGAGGATGAGGCCCCACACAGGAGAGCTGGAGTGCTGCACCCCATCCTCCTCCTGGGTCCCTCTAAGTAGAGCCATTCAGAAAGAAGACAACCTGGTAGATGTATGATGGGCACTATTGAAGGTCTTCAGAGGTTTGACAGTGTAAGAAAAGGGCGAGGACTCTGTGTTACCAGACCCTTTAAAGTTGGAGAGCTCCTGTTTTCCAGTCTGCCATACTCCTACGTGCTGTCAGTAAAAGAAAGAGGCTGCTACTGCGAGTTCTGCTTTACCAGGTAAATGGTTATTTTTCTCCCCATATGTGTTGACCACTCACTTTATTCACTGATTGATTGGTTGTACTTGGCATAGTTCAAAAAGAGCCTCATCTGAGCACTTTTGCCTGCATCAGATACAAGCCTTTGTGATGAAAGCCTATCTTATATATTGCAACACCTCATTACATAGGATTTATTTCTTACTAGATCTGCCTGTAAAACAGATCCTCTGTTTAACAAACCAGTTAACACACACAAAATGGTACCAGCACCACATACATTATGAATTGCACTATGATTATGTAACACAGTTTAATTAATCTCTAATTTTCATTAGTGAAGGGGCTAGAAATTGCAGGCAATAACACACTGGTAATCTGTTTTGTAGACTCATACCATGTTATCATATCACAGTAATAAATAATAATAAATAATATAATAATAAT